AAAAGAAGCTGAGTGAGTGGGTCGCCATGATTCTCCCACTCCAGACAGACGCAGGTTAAGATCCTCCCTGGTAAGCCAGCTCGTGGGCTACACAGAATATTAGAAATGGGTTAGAACAATATGTAAGAGCTAGCCAATAAGAAGCTGGAACTAGCCGGGCCAGGCAGTGTTTGAAAGAATACAGTTTCCGTGTAATTATTTCGGGGCATAAGCTAGCCATGCGGGCGGCCGGGTGCCGGGGACGCAGCCCCGCCGCTCCTATTTCAACAGTGCATAACAGAAACCCCACCAGGTCTCCTGCCTCACCACTGAAACCTGCCTTTTAGTCTACTACAAGTCAGTCAGCCACAAGTCAGACCTAGCAAGCCAAATCCTGTGAGACATACTATCCACTCATTTGTCAAAGACTCCATTTTTCTTAAACGTACACAGCATATCTATGATTCAGCAATTTCTCTCACAGTCATCTACCCAAGAGAATGAGAGAACATATGGTCACTCAACAACTAGTACATGATGTTCATAACAGTGCACCTAACAGCAAACACATGAGAATAACAAAGATCACTGATGAATATGCACAATGTAAAATATCCATACAGTCATGAAGGAAATGAAGCTCTGATTAACAGTGAAGGATGAAGGTTCTGATCATTACTCTAAGTGAAAGATATCAGACACAAAACCATATACTGTGTAATTATTTACAGGAAAAGTCTAGAATAAACAAATTAATAGAAACTAGAAGTGGCTGCCAGAGATGGTGGTGGTGGTGGTACATGTGGATTCAACTGCTAATGAGAACAAGGAGTCTTTCTGGGGTGATGAAAATACCCTATGAGGACTGGAGAGTTAGCTCAGTGGTTAAGTGTACCAGCTGCTCTTCCAAAGGACCTGGTTTCTATTTCTAGCACTCATATGGCAGCTCATAGCTGTCTGTAAAACCAGCTGCAGGGGATCTGGGACATATACATACATATAAAACACATAAATATATATATCTTAAACATTAAATATACTGAACACTGCACTGCACACTTCTGAAATGAGTTAATTTTTTAAGTGATGAATACTTCAATTAAGCTAATACTACTTTAAATTTTTTTTAAAGATTGTATTACTTGCGGGGCGGTGGTGGCACACACCTTTAATCACAGCACTCGGGACACAGAGACAGTAGGATCTCTGTGATTTTCGGGATTTTGATCTTCTCATCAATAGAGCGAGTTCCAGGACAGCCAAGGCCGTTATACAGAAAAAGAAAAAACAAACAAACACAAAACAAAAAAACCCTGTCTTAAAAAACAAAAAAAAAAAAAAAAAAAAAAAATAGGGGCTGGAGAGATGGCTCAGTGGTTAAGAGCACTGGCTGCTCTTCTAGAGATCCAGGTTCAATTCCAAGCACCCAAATGGCAGTTTACAGCTATCTGTAACTCCAATTCCAGGGGATCTGACACCTTCACAGCAATGCACATAAAATAAAGTCAATAAATTATAAAAAAGAAAAACCAAAATATAAATAAGCAAATATAAAAGTACATTATTTGTATGTGTGTGCCCAAGGAGGTCAGAGGAAGGTATTGGGATCCCCTGGACCTGGAGATACAAGCTGCTGTGAACTGCCCAGTATGGATGCTGGGAACTAAACTCAGGTTCTTCAGAAGAGCAGAAAGTGCTCTTAACTACTAAGCCATCTATCTCTCTAGCTCCAAGCTTTTATTAATTTTATTTTTTGAGGTAGGTTCTCACCCTATGGCCCTGTCTGGCTTGGAATTGGTAGGTAGGCCAGGCTGGTCTTGAACTCAGAGAGGTCAGCCTGCCTCTGCCTACTGAGTACTGGGATTAAAGGTGTACACATCACCACATCTGGCAGCCCCATATGCTAACCAATTATTTTATGTATATTTTCGGGGGTGGGGTGGCACATATGCCCCAGTGTGCCTGTAGAGGTCAGAGGGCAACTTGCAGCGGTTGGTTCTTAACTTCTACCATGTAGGATCCAGGGACTGAACTCAGTGTGGGGCTTGGCAGCAAGGGCCTTTACTAACTAAACCACTTTGACAGCCCAAAATTGTTTTTTATTTTTTTTAACTTATTTTTAATTATGTATATGCCTCTGTCTATGTGTATGTGTACGTGAGTGGGATTGCCTGAGAAGACAAGAAGAGTCCAAGTCTCTGAAGCTGGTTATAGGCAGTTGAGAGCCACCAACATGGGTGCTGGGAACGCAGGTTCTCTACAAGAGATGATGTACTCTTAAGTTAGGGCATCTATCCCCCCAGCTCCTCAAAGTTGCTATTTTTTAAAAAGTTCTACAGTAAAAATATATTTAAATATGAAAACAGATGTATACTATGCATATACATTCAATTTAGTTTAAATATAGTTTCATTTATCTACGTTAATGTTTTAATATTCTAAAATTAAAATATTTGAAATGTTATATAACCTATTTTGATAAATAATGATATTACTAAAGTTTTAAACTTACATCTCCATTAAATGAGCAACTTTAAAGTCCTGGAATCAGTACCAATCTGCTCAGTTAGCTGAGCTTCATTCATTCATTCATTTTTAGAAGGGCTCAAGTAGCTGAAGCTGGCCTTGAACTCCTGACCATCCTGGCTCTATCATCCTGGTGGGATTACAGACCTGAGTACCAAGTCTGGCTGGTGAGTTCTAATTTCAATTTTATATCTGTATAGAATCAAGAAACTACAAAGTAGCCGGGCAGTGATAGCACATGCCTTTAATCCCAGCACTTGGAAGGCAGAGGCAGGTGAGTTTGAGGCCAGCTTGGTCTACAAGGGTTAGTTCCAGGACAGGACAGGCTCCAAAGTTACAGAGAAACCCTGTATTGAAAAACCAAGAAAAGGGGGGGGGGGAGGGGAGGAACAGACAGACACACACAGAGACAGACAGACTGACTGACTAACTACAAGTTAAAAGCTGGAAAGATGGCTTAGTTGTATAGAACACTGGTGGCTCTTGCAGAGGCTCAGGGTTCAGTTCTCAATCATCCATAATTCTAGTTCCAGGAGATCCGATGTCCTCTTTGGGTCTCCTCAGGCACCAGGGAGGTATACGTGACATACATGCAGGTAAGACACTCATACACAGTAAATAAAAATAAATCTTTATAAAAATACAAATATAACTGGGTCTGAGTGCTGTAACAGTAGGAACTATGCCTTTTATAATCTCATAACCTTTGCAAGAGACAGCATAGTCCTTCATACACATTATGGACCAAAGACCAATGAAAAGTTCTTTCTGATGTTATCTCAATTGTGGAGTTGCTGGGGGCTCAGGATCGCCTATAAGGAACACCTCTGGGTATGTGTGAGGGAATTCAGAAAGAGGGTTAACCTGGGATGTGAGCTGTACCACCCATGGCAGTACAGCATCTCTGGACTACCGGGAGAGAGGAGCAAGAAGAACACAAGAACTCATCGCCTGCTTGCTGTGGGCACTGCCTTTAGCAGCTGCACATTCCTGCTACCATAAGGAATGTGTCTTTCTGGCTGTGATGAACTGTGCCTGTGAACTATAAACACATTTAAATCCTTCTTCCCCTAAACTGTCCTGTGAGAACAGCCAGAAAAGTAGCTACTGTACTCTTAGTACCGCATTTGTAAGACAAAACCATAATCATCAAGCTTTTGTTGTATGTGAGCCCTTTAAAACTGGTAAGCAGTTTTTACCTGGTAAAGAGCAAATAGAAAATATTTTAGGACTTTCTGGACCAGATTTTCTGATACAACTACTATATTCTCCTGTGAAATGAAGGCAGTCACAATGATTTAAACCACTTACGTCAATACTGCCCACAAAACTTTCTATAATCTAGTCAGTCTATTGAACATCTAGAAATATGGTTATTATTGCTAAGGACCTGAATTTTAAAACTAAAGTTACTTCTCAGTGTTTACAGGTGTGGCTCTCATGGGCTCATATTTCAATGTTTGTTCAATAGTTGATGAAACTGTTTCTGAAGGACTAGGAGGTGTGGCCCTGTTGGAGGTGAGTCATTGGGAATGGGCTTTGAGGATTCAAAAGCTCATACCTTGCTTCCCCACAACCCATCCTGCCTCCAACTGGTGGTTAAAATGGAGCCCTCAGTCACTGCCTCAGCACCATGCTTCTCTGCCTGCTGCTATGTTCCCCAACACGATGGTCACCCTCTGAAACTCTAAGAAAGTTCCTACTAAATGTTTTTTGTAAGTTGCTTTGGCCATGGCATCTCATCATGGCAACAGAAAAAATGAAAAGCAACTAATACTAGAGGATCTCCCCAAGGAGGGGAGGATCTAAACTATTAGATTATAAATAATGACAATATATTTGCATACAATTCATCTGCATCCTCGTACTTTAAATCACCTCTGGATTACTTAAAATGCCTAATAAAATACAATACAAAATGCCTATACAACAGTTGTTATACTGAGAATGATGATAAAACAAGGTCTACATGTTTAATAAAGAGCCTTTTTTTCCAAATAGTTTTCAGTCAGTAATTGTTGAATCTATCAATGTAGAACCTGCTGATATAAAGGGAGGCTATAAGGTTGGCAAGAGGCTCAGCAGGTAGAAGTGTTTGCTGCCAAGCCTAAAGTCATAAGTTCAATCCCCAGACTCAGACTGTGCTGGCAGGAGAGAATTGACTCTTACAAGTTATCCTCTAACCTCCACATGTGCACTGTAAACACTTGCGTGCACAAACACATACATGTGCACAGTCCCTACTAAAAAGCAGGGGCGCGCGGGGGGGGGGGGGGGGACAACAGGTAAGTTTCAAATGTAAACATCTGCAGGCACTAGTCAGCACCACCTTAACTAATCAAATTACCTCTGCTGAAAACAGAAAGGTAAAAAACCAAATTTTTGATTTTATTGCAGATAAGAAATATGACATAACATTTCTAATAATTAAAAGAACATACCACTACATAGTCACGACTCTAGACACACCAACCACAGCACAAGCAAGAGGATACGTGTAGAGCTCCATGTATCTGGACTTCGCCATGCTTTGTCTGGTGTACACTTGCTGAATCCCAGCTCTGAGGTCATCCCAGATCTGGTCAAGCCCGATCTGCTTCAGTCCATGGGGATTCTGACTCCTGTTTGATGACATTATGAGGGATGTTCTGAAGTTGTCCAGTACAGCAACCCTTGTAAAGACACAGCTAATTCTCCATTAGTTGAAAATAGACAGTATCATTCCAAATTTATTCACAGCAGCTCAGAAAGAATGTTCTTTAAGTGTAGAGAGTAAAATCTCATTGCAGGCAAACCTGAAAAGAAAATAAAGAAAAATTGATCAATTCTAACTTTCTGGGGTAGGTAACAGGGCAACCCAATCCAACAACTGTGGGTGTCCAAATAATAGGTCTGAATGTAAAATATGCTTAGACATTTCATCCAAAATCATTGAAAAAAGTTGAGAAAAAGAAGCAAAAAGAGACTGCTGTCATTCTTTATCTTCTAAAGTCATCTAAGGCTGAAACACAGCACTGGACCTTTACAACAGACAAACTCTAAAGAAGACGTGGCAGAGAACACGCTTGGGAAATTCCCAGAAGAAACAGGAAGAGTTAGCTAACTAGTAGGAAAAGTAGCACAACCTCACTAGCTGCCTTCAAGTTTTAGGAACTCACTCAGCACTTGGCAGAAAAGCTAACATTGAAAAAAGTGAACACAGGGCTTTCTTTTAGTAAGGGAATTTGGGAAGAATTATCAAAACATAAAATATACCTTAGATTCAGGAATCCTGATAGTAGATGCTTACCAAATGGCTGTGGTATTATTAATATGTAATATTGCAATAATATGGTTATTATTTCTAAGTGTATGACACTATTTCAAAAACAATCTGTAAGGCTCAAGGACCTTATAGAATACCACACTGTATTTAATTGGTACTTCACAATGCACACATACTTTAGAATTGTTTATGCACACAACATTAAAATGTAGAGGTTTCAAAAAGTACTTCTAAGTGCAAATGCTAAAAAACATTGAGCTCTTTTAATGGCTTCACGAAATACAGCACAGGCTGCCATTCTACAAATCAAAGCCTGAGATACCTCAAGTCATTCGGCACACCGTATTTCCTGATCAACATCATGAAGCTCCACACAATACAAGGCCCGTTTAAGGCCTTCCAGGTAGTGCATATGGATTAAGTTTTGACTACTGAAACTTCAATTATTTCTAACATTTATAATTATAATATATTATATAATTATAATATAATTATAATAGCACTAAATATTTTATGAAACCAAACCATCATTTCTACCTTAAAAGTACTTTATTTCATACATCCAAACATGTCCAAATGTGAATTATAACCAATGCAATATAAGACTCCTTTAAATATAAAGAAAGCAACAACTCAGCAAATGTTTCCTACATAGTTTCAACCTTCCTTTTATTCACCTTGGTGGAATCACAGTAACACCCTACTTGATAATAATCAGCATTTGGGCTGGTGCTGCCACCTACGAGCATCAACTTTACACATACCTCCCCCATCACTTCTTTCCTCATTCCCCATGGGGAACTTAAATTCATCAAAACTAGAATCAACAATGCAGTTGTTTCTGATTGCTACCAGCAATGGAGGAAACTATTCTCTACCACCTGAATCTAGCCCAACTCAGAACATGGTGAAGCCGTATCCACCGTTCAGGACTCTTGGGAGGATTCTGATAACAGAGTGTTATTGATGCTGTCAAGGACCTGTCACATCGATTAGTTCTCTGTTGTTTCCTCCTCCAGTGATCATCACCATTTCTCTAAACTGGACTCTCACACATCTGTCCACTTGGATCAGGCCATTGTCCCTTTTCAAAGCAGCAGAGCCTGAAACTGTCATCCTAATTCCTAATAAATGGTCAATCTCCAGGACCACATGGTCCCGCAAGCTGTCCTCTGACATCTTCTATACACTTGCATATGCAACCACATTTTCCATCCCAGCATAAGCAATATGCTTGCCACACACATACCCTATGCAGTGTTTTTTACTGTCCCCTTTTTGTATACTGTGCCTTAATTTCTAACCACCTGCTCCTGTTTCTCTGGTTAACCATACCGAGTATCTAAAACTCAAAAATAATCTCAAGGATTTCCAAGTCAGTACTACATATATAAATGGGCAACTTTAAAGAACAAACTTATCTTACATTTTATATATCCTCCAGAGGGCCTCACACCAGCATGTTGTAACTAATATGACAGAGGAATCCAAACCTAAGTATGAATGGAACTGTTAAACAAAAGCACACTGCAGAAATGTCTGAAGGGCAGATTGCAAGCTGGTACAGTCCACAGTGTAGGCAGAACAGTTTTCATAAGTTATAGGCATTTGTGAAATAAAAAGCAGAAAGTCAACTGGGCTAAGAAGTTATTTGTGATTCAGACCATAAAACTCAAGGTCAACCAAGGAGCAAACTCTGTCCAAACTTGCAGGGACCAGGACACGCAGGGCAGGCAGCTTGTAGCTAAAGCCGATCCTATATTCAATATCTCTGAGCAGTCCCTCCACACAGGACACCTCAGCAAGTTAGGGTTGTCCACCAACCACTCCAATAGCCTGGAGAAGATGAGGCTTCAGTTTGCCAGTCTAGGTCACGTGTGTGCAAATACACAAGTGTGTGTGCTTAATTTGCCTTCACAGCACCCAACGCTGGGGAGATGAACTGACTGTAAAACTAGAGCAGTAAAGCAGAATATTGGTATCCATAAATGACTGGTTATTGTCACTGCTGATTTTTCAGAAATATACTAGTTTACCATCTTATAACTAAGCCATCAAAAAAAAACCCTGAAATTTTCAGCAGATTTTCTAAGACAGAACTCAGTTTCAACTAATAAGTAAAAAGTTTCTTAACTTAGCCACAACCAGAAGGCTAGAAAATGTTCCAAAACTCAGTTAATTTCAACAAAATCTTAACAAGACTACTTAGAAAATCGAGTCACAGTGACAAAAGTTCCCCAAGCTCTAGAGAACACAGCACTTGCTGATCCACTACTTCACAATTTGGGCGTGTGGTCCAAGTAGCCTGAAGATTAAGTTGCCAATGAGGGAACTGATGCCAACTAAGGCAGCTAAGGGTTCCCTGACTACTTCAGTGTTCTCTAGGAGCCCCAGCCATACAGGCTCCTTCCAATTCCTGGACGATGCACAGGTCACATATTCCTGACAGGCAACAAAGGCATAAAAGATCACCAACTAAGGACAGAGACAGATGGCAGAACCAGTTGTGGCCACTGGCACATGAAGCCTGTGAATTACAACAGCTTCCAGTCTTCACTTTTCCTTACAGTGTGGCACATACTTATGAAATGTACAGTAAAATTATTCAGACCTAGAAACTCCTGCATGTGTACAACAGACTTTGGGGAGGACAAGCAGAATTCACAAATAAGCTATGGGATAGCTAATGAATTAGTTACTTATTTCATTCCTATGACAAAATACCTGACATAATTTAAAAGAAAAAGAATTCGTGCTAGTCAGCTTCAGGGATCCATCAGGCATCACGGCAGGTAAATGTGGCTGAATGCTGATCACCTTCAGGAGTGGTCGTCTCCCCTTGCATAATTCTCCTGGAAAAGCCCTCAAAGATACAGAAGTGTATTTTACTAATGTGTCAGGTACTTCTCAACCCAATTAAGCTGACAATCAAGATCAGCCATCACATGACTGACTACTCCTTATCAACCTGACACCCAAAACTATCTCCCTAAATTAGAACAGTGAGACAGTCCATCTCTGGCACGCAAAACACTCAAACTCATCTCATAATGCAAAATGCATTCAGTCCTTCTCCAAGATTATCCAAAAGCGTTCACAGTTCCAACACTATTCAAAGTCCAAGTTCAAAGACTCCTCTGACCCTCAAGACAAATGCAACTGTGAATCCCTGAAAACCTAAAAATCAAAACCAAGTCATACAATTCTAGGATACAATGGCACAGAACACTCCAGGCAAGAAATGGAGACATAGAAAAGGATAAGACAAGAGGAAGCAAATCTGAGCCACATGCAGTATCTAGGGGTGTCCTGTGTCAAAGGGTTTCAGCAGCTGTGTCTGGATGACCTTCCTATTGCAGGCCACCTGACCTGTTAGTCTGGTTTTTATCTGACTGCAGCCTACAGCTTTCCTTGAAATGTTCCAGGTGCCTGGCATCTTCAGCAGGTTAGATCTCACCTGCAAGTTTTATGCATTGCAGGAGCTAACTGAAGGGTCTTCTCATTCTGTCATTGGTCACCTGGCCTTCCAAGCTTTACTTTGAGGTCTAGGTGAGTTCTCTAAGATCTCATACTCCAGGGCATTTTCCATGTCTGAAAAGCCCACACCTTGCAGTCAAAGTCTGTCAGCTCAAGCAGCAGACTGAGGCCTTCAAGATAAAAGTCACACTGGCCTTAGAGTAACGGTGAGGTGAGTCCTGGGGAAATTCTAAAGTGTCCCTGTGGAAGCAGGGTTCCCCTGTTAGTATTCTTCTCAAGGGAAAGGCAACCAAATTCACCCTTGAGTCTGTGATGGGTAGTAGGTATCTAGCTAATTCTTATGCTTGCAAAGTATTTTTCCTACTGTGCCATGTGAAGTTCTTAGCTTACTTTTAACATCACATTTTCCTTTGGCCTCTATTTATCGTCACTTCTTTTTTGAAAAAACTACAAAATTTTCAAACATCTGCACTCTACTTTTTACTGACAGCTTGTAGCACAATAAGAAAAACCCTGTAGCAGATATTGGGAATCAAGCTGAAGATCAGAATAACAAAGCAGCCAAGCCACTAGAGAGTTCTCACCTCTACCAATGCTCAGACAAACAAAGGAGCGATCCTGTCCTCTGTGTGACTTTAGAATGCTATGCTCTCCAAACCTTAAGACTATCTCCTTCCCCTTATATTCCTCTCTCCGCCCAGCCATATCTCTCCTGTCTCCACCTCCTTAGTGCTGGGATTAAAGGCGTGTGACCCCAAATTCTGGGATCACCTTTGTGTGAGCTCTGCTTCTTTTGCAGACAGATTCAATCTTGTGTAGTCCAGATCCCTCTGCCTCTATCTCCAGTGTCCTGGGATTAAAGGTGTGTGCGACTACTCTCTGGTCTCTAGTGGCTTAGCTCTGCACTCTGATATTCAAGCAAGCTTTTTGTTAAAACATAAACAAAATATCACTACAACAGTTCTCTATTTGGCCCAAAGCAACCAGCAATAACTCAGACACAGCTTAAAAGAGGTCTACCTTGAAACTCCTCTGTCAAAGAGTTGGTCACCA